AGGAACGAAAATTTTTTAGAACGCTCTTGTGAAACATTTAATGAGCTCTGAAATAGTGTTGGCAGGCCTCAGAGGAGAAAGGTCCAGTTTAAATCTGAACTTTGCAGTTTACTAAATGGCAGTGGACTGGAGCCCCAAGCACTATTTATTTTCAGAGACTGTTTTTATTAGAAAATCCCCAACTCCTGTAATGCTCTTCTGCTCTAAAAGTCTTCACCCCTTTGTTGCAGCTGCCATGCAATCAATGGCACTTGCCAAGAAACGCGCTCCTAGGGCCCAAATTAACATATTAATGCATTTTTCTTAATGTAACAAAACTGGATTTTGCCTCAGACTTAGGCAGGTCTGCTCCTCACCTCCAGGCATTATCCACATTTGAAGCCAGAATACGCTATTCTGGTAAGGCAAGGAAGGGCAGAGGCTTTTTGGAGCAGAGGGACAGAGGGGGTGGAAATCACCTGGCTGCATCAGTAATATATCTAGTTCTTTATTATATTCACATTCCCCCTCCTCATCTCCCATGAAACTGCCTACAGCTGTGTTCTCTCAACCTTCGGTCTGAAAGACATTACAAAGCAGTCTGCAAGACGACTACAGTTTTTAAAAAGTCACTCCCACATATGTAAGCAAGCAAGGAAATGAGAAGAGTTAAAAAAAAAAAAAAAAAAAATATCGTCATGGTGCCACTGCAGGAGGTAGAGCCAGATATTTTAAGTGGTTCAGTGATTATACTCCTTGGAATAAAATAAGGTGAGACATATTGGCCAAGAGAGTGTCTAGTTTGGGAAAGTCCCCCTGACCCTTTCTACTGTAACAAGGTAAGCCACTGCTGAAAACATAAACGGAACGACAGTGGTCAAACACCACCTGCAACAGGACCTTTTAAGTCTTAAAAGTCCTTACTTTTCACTAGTGAGAAGACTGTAGGAGTCCAAAGAGGGTCTGAAAAGTATTAATGAACTTGGCATCACAAAATCAGTTCTTCTGGCAACTCAGTGCAAACGAAATTTTAAGCAGCAAATTCCACACTGACAGCCAACTCTTAGTTCACCGGCTGGATCAAGCTTGTGTTAAAGACAACAAGATTAAAGGGTTTCTCCAGCTGGTGACCACCTCCGTTTGATACAAGATCAGTGGTTTGCAAAACATATTTAAATTAAAAAAAAAGAAATTACTGGTCTTTATTTAGTGTCTATTACTGTTGGCACAAATAACAGGTATCAGTCCTTCAGAAGTTAATGACACACAAGAAGCTACGCCTGTCCTCATCTTGTTTAGTTGCTGCTGTGTCAATCCAGAGACACAGCCGTACCATTTCTTGCACCACTACAGCGCTCTGTGGGTTATTGTAGCAAAACACAAACACCCACATTACAGAAGACATGGCTCGATCCTTCAATTTCATTTTTCCACAGTGCTTCTGCTGAAGAAAGCTGATGTGAAACAACTAACTCAATTTTCCCCCAACTCTCCTCAAACGCACATTGAACACTTGACAGTGCCCACTGTTCTATTTTCCTCCCCACGTCTCCACCGGAGAGGACCCTCTGTGCATTCAGAGCAGCACAATGGAGAATGATTTCCAAAGCATTAACTTGGAGCCATTGAGACTTGGATGTTTTCAAAATGACTCTATTGTGCTCAAAGGATTCTAGACTACCCCAGCTACTCTAGAAGAGAGAGTCTTTTTCCCTTTCTCAAAACGTCCATCCCTCGAGCCATCCCTGGAGTGCTTTGTTGGGGCCGATTCCTTAGTGCAGCAAGTTCCATCAGTCAAAGCTCAACAGATACAAATAATATCAGGATATGGATATAAATTAGTGCGACAGACCCTAAATAGTTTTGACAGGTTTAGTAAGTATATATAGCAACACAGAATGCTATTCCTGCTGTCAGACATCAATATGTAGACAGAAGATTGGGGGCACCATGGAAACTCAGCGACATAAGAGTGGTATTGATTGGATAGAAAATGAGGCTGCAATTTAAGCTTAAGGCTGCCAGAGATGCCAAGAATGGAGAATGACCTCCAGCAGTGAATTTTCAGCATAAGCTCCCTGTGAACAAGCCAGTCCAAGAAGGATAAATTAGGGACAAGCTCACCAGGGATATGGCTCGACCGAATGCGGGCTACCCTAAGCAGATGAGAATCACTCTGCGTGTGTGCGCGCGTTACAGTGACCTAGTTTGTTCAAAGACAGCACTTTAAATGGTTTATTATAGAGGCTTGAAACAAAGAGATTTCCTCAATTAAAGTCCTGAAATGAATCCTCTAAATGAAAATGCTTTTGATACACTGATCAGCAAAGGGGCTGTAAATATCAAAGTGAAGCGGACATTGTTACAGGACCAGTTCCCACAGAAAACACCACGGTGGGGAGTGTAGGTAATGAGGGGGCCTGAACGGAGCGAGAGGTTTCATGAGCAATGCCAGCTCCATCCCTAACGCCCTAGTGTTATACTAAAACTTGTTACACTAAAACACTTGATAAATGGTGTCTTCCCTGCCACGGAAACACACTAAAATAAAACAGACTATGAGTTAAACGAGTGCCTTTTTTGGAGCTCCTGTAAAGGATTTATTTTAATTGTTATCTGAGGACTCAGGAACAATCAATCCCAGAATGATCAAGAAGAAATATAGGACATGTCTGGGAAATAACGTGCTGGAGCCATGACTGCTGGAAGTCAGCTAAGTATTAATATTCACATTGATGACAGAAAGATGAATCTACACAAAACATCCATCAGTACAGCTGTCAGGAGTAAGATAAACCTCTAAAGTGTCCTCGGTGTCAGTATGGGCGTAGAGGAATCCAGGCGTATGGTACTGGGATAGCAGCACTATGTTTTGTAATACTATAGCAGGACCAACCTTCTGCTGGCAAGGATGTATCAGCCACAGCCTGCCTCTCTCCATTAACTGCTGATAGGCATCTGGATAATTGCAAAAGGTCTGTTTTTCTTAGGTCTCTTCTACGCTATAAACCAAGACTTCCCATTTGTACAAGAAAGATTTGTTGCTGGCTTCTCTTTTTTCCACCCAAGGCCTTGCCCTGGAGCACACTAAAGTCAGCAAGTTTGTGTCCTTCCATTTCATCCAAAGCTCCATAAGCAGTAAGTCACCAAAGAGTTTAGCTCAGCCTGGACACAGGAGTATATTAAACCCCTGCTTTCTTTCTCTTTAGGAAGAATTACTAAATTATGCAGCAGGGGTTTTTTGTTGCTGTTTTTATTTTTGTTCATCCTCTCCATTCACTTCCAAATTTTCATTTCTACAGCAAATTAAGAAATTTTGTCACAAATATGCAGGTTCCTTTTTCACTTCGGACCACCTCTCTTGATCAAAGGTTAAGATTTTTTTTCTCTTTTTTTTAAAAATTCTTATTTCTTTGGAGAGAGGAAGCAGAAACAGACAGGGGGTTGGGAGGAACAAAACAAAACAACATAAAATTTGTTTTGTAAATCACCTCAAGTTCAGAAAATGTGAGACAAGTATTCCTTTGTAACAACTTTTCCCATATCCTTCCCTTCTCTTTCTCTCCATCCCTTTCCTCCTCATCTCTAACACAAGCAGTTACATGCTCAGTTTATTTCTTGTCCAAAAAGTTGAACTTTGCCAAAAGCTAAAAAAAAAAAAAAAATAAAAAAAAAAAAAATCCAAGACCCAAAGGGAAAAGGAGAAAAGGGCAGAGAGTTCAAGAGTTGATGAGCCACAGGTAAAACATTCTTCCACTGTTAATACAAGCCATTTAGAGCAAACTGGATATAGTTAAAACACCTACCACTGCCCATAGCTGCAGGGTTATTTCACAGAGAAAGGTTTTATGCACTTCACAGACATTTCCACAATGCTCCCAAGAACCACCTGGCCCTCTAGGGTTTACAGCCTAGAATCCAGCTCCTGAGCGTATCACTAAGCTAATGCACAGTAGAAATTCACCGCCAAGGCAAACCACTTGCAGCATGGAAGAAAAAGGTGTGCGACAGCCCACTGGAACGTGTCAAAGGAGCAGACGAGCTCCTGAAGAATGAAAACTACCTCTCCCCAATAAAAGCTCTACTTTTTAAAAGGAGGGGACGAAGGAGGTTAAAGGGAAGCACCCGTGCTTCTAACACATTTGCGGAATAACGTGTGTGCTCAACAGCGGGAAACTGTGTTTTTACTGTTAACTCTGATTTTTCTCCCAATCCCTCCCTCCAGAGGAGAAAGAAGCCCCGAACTAATGACGGCAGTTTTAAATAGCTCTATCAGCACTTGCTAGATTCAGTTGTTCCACCAGAAGTAAACTAAGGATAAGGCGGCAAACTCCCAAGAAAAACATCAGTTAAAAGTGCTCGGTCTGAGGGTACAGTTTAACCTCATTATCCCGACTCTTCGCCGGGACATTTTTGGCACAGGGCAACCGGGACCCGCAGGGGGTTTGCCGCTCAGGGGTCACTCCGCTGCCCTTTTGTCCTCTCCAAATTGAGCGGCCCGAGGACTCCTGCCTCCCCTCCCCGCTGGCCCACGTCCCCCCCCCCCCCCCCCCCCAAGCCACCCCTCTCCTCCTCACCCCCCTCCTCGGCTTTTTGACGCTCCCACTCCCCGACCCCGAAGCGGGGTGACCGTCCGGCTCGGGCAGCGCTCCCCGCCCCCCCCAGCCCTGCTCCCGGGCACCCCCCAAACCTCCACCCCCGCTTCGGGCAGGTGCCTCCGGGGCCGCAGGTCCTCCCCCCCCCCCCCCCCCCCACGCTGGGTCCGGGGTCCCACACAGCCCCTCTCCCCTGCACCCTCCGGGCGGCGAGAGGGGGTACGGAGTTGGGGGGGGGGGGGGGGGAGACAGGGGTGCAGAACCCCGCTGGGGTAAGTCCCCTGGAGCCGGGGCAGGGCGGGGGGAAGCGCTCCCCACCCTCCCCACGCCCCGACCCCCTTCCCCCGTGGGGGAGCGAGCGAGCGCGGCGGGCACCATCCCTCGGGTGGACCCCAGAAGCCCCCCCCGCCGCCCCTTCGGACTTACTTCGGGCGCGGCACAAAGCTCTTCTCCCGCAGCTGAGAAGGTGTCGGGGGGGTGGGTGGGTTGGGGGGGGGGTTGGGGAGGGGGGGGGGAAGGGAGGGCGGGGGGGGGGCGGGAAAAGCCGCGGGTGTCCCCGGTGAGCAGCGGCTGCTGCTGCCGCCGCCGCAGCGCGTCCCTCCGCTTCCCCACGGACGGGCTCTCGCCGGCCGCCGCTTCACGCCCCGCTCCTCCCGCGCCCCGTGTCTCCCCCCTCTCGCCGTGATTTTTATACTGGAGGCAGGGAACCTGATCCGCGTTTTGACTCGGGAGAAGCCCGGGCTGCGGCGAGAGGAGGGAGGGGAGAGGAGGGAGGGGCCGGGGCAGAGCTTGAGCGGCCGCGCTGCCCCCTCGTGTGATGCGGTGGAGGTGCGCCCGCCGGGCGGGTCACGCGTGGGGCAGCCTCGGGGGAGGGGTGGGGAAGGGGTGGGACGGGGGCTCCCCGTGAGCCTGCCGCCGCCCCGGGCCCTCTAACGGGCTTTTAAGGCCAAGCAACTTCCCCTCCTCATCCTCACGGCCCCCCCGGGCACCTCACGGTAGCCCCGGCCGCTTTTCCAGGCACAGGAGTTTATAGGTTTTGGGGGGGGGGGGGGTGGGGGGTGGTAGCCTTTGGCTGGCAGAACTTGGGGAGGTTGCCGCTCAGCCCACGGCAGTTGGTTTGGAAATCCTGTTGGGGAGGGGGAAACAACAACACACACACACACAAAAAAAGAACAAAACAAAACAAAACAAAAACACACACACACAAAAAAAAAAAAAAAAAAAAAAAAAAAACCAACCAACCAAAAAACACATACACACACAAAAAAAAAAAAAAAAAACAAACAAAAAAAAACAAAACCACAAACAAACAAAAAAAAAAACCAAAAACAAAACACACACAAAAAAAAAAAGGAAAGAAATAAAAGAAAAAAAAATAGCTTTTAATTTCAACTTGGGCAGAAAGTGCCCTGAGAACAACTTTTGTCAGGGTGTTTCAACACATCTGGCTATAGTGGTTGCTGGAGTTATACTGAGGCTTTCATTTAGAAGTAAGCTTTTCCGACTTTTAGGTTCATTACGTCCATTGAATAAGAGTGTTTCCTCAATCCACAGCTTAATCTAAAACTAAGTGGACTTGTTCCAAATGCCAGGCAATTTCTGTGCAATTCCTGATCCCCAGAGTAAGTCTCTGCCTTGGTTTGAACCATTGGGCCCATTGACTGCTTGGGTCTCAGCTGGGATTGCAACTTGCAGCTCCTGATCCGGGTTTGCACAGAAATCCAGTTCGGATTCTTCTCCTGTTTCAGAGGAATGAGCTAAAAAAGTAATTTGTCTGGCACCGTACACATTGCATCATCTAACACCTACCATCTGTGACAATGAAAAGCACTGTGTGGCTAGTCCCAGCATGGGCAATTGCACCCACCTGCAGTCTTTCTTACTAAAGTAAACTACAACCATCCATCTACACCTTGGCATCTTCTTTTCATCACACAGTTATGTGTTTAGTCCTGGAGTGGCTGTTCAGGATTTGCACCACCGGCAGATTTAATGACAGTGAGGTAATTTAAAACAATAATTTTGATTTGCAATGTAAAATGATGGCTTGAGATGGAGAGAATATCCTTTCTAGCAGACGGAAAATAGTAAACTTCAACTTGGTGTTTCAGAGCATGCAAAGCTGAATGGAGCCTTGATAGCTAGCTTGCACCTTCCTGAGGGCTTCTCAGTGAAATCCTGGTATCACAGTGCTAAGCACCACAAACGTCCAGAGAAAGACACTCTCCATCAAAAAACACCTGGTAGCAGTCGACACTTTAAGCCCTCACAGTTTCTCCATACAACCACAACAGCACATTTCAGATGGTCAATCACGTCAGAGTAACAAAGAGAAAGCAGGAAACAGGACAAAGCCTGATCTGTAAGTGTACCTTGATTGAAACCGAAACAGATTGCAAAGTGGGTCAAGAGCTCTCTTCCTTTCCTTACAAAAATCTGAGTCTTAGCTGAAACACTGAAAACTTAACATTTTCAGTTTTTCAGCAAACAATGGCAACTTTCTGCAAAAAGCAACCACTTTTCAGAAAGATGTGCATGATGTTAGAAGCCTCGTTTGTCCACTAAATTTTAGGAGCAATGTCAACAGACAATCTTACACCAAATTTCCTTACAGCTTTTCTCCATACCTAGTTTTCCACAACTCAGAAATTAATTTCCTGAAACCAAGTTCACATGCACAGAAATGAATTTTGGATGATACAGCTTGGGTTTTGATTCAGAAAGTCCAAAATAAAACTGCAGACGGGGTTAACACAGCATCTAAGAGGACAGATTATGGTCTGAAGAACCTAGGACTGACAAAGAAAGTATCTCAGTTCTCAACTGACAAAAAGTAAATGTGTTTTAACGTTAATATTGTTTCTGTCCCAATGGCACCTTGAGGCTTAACTGATGTTTCCATTGCAAAAAGCACTGTACAAATAAAGATATTCTTTGCCCCAAATTGCTCATTGCATTTGACGCCTTTGATATTCATGGAGCATAACGCTTGAGTTTATTGACTGAACCTTTGCTCTTGAGATAGAATTTGTAAAGACACAGAAGGAGGTCAGACGGTGAATACAGAAATCTTGGGAAGACCAATGTAACTTGTTTTGCCAAGAAAAAGTCATCAACTATGTTAATCACAGACCTAAAGGTGCCTATTGTGCTGGTTCCCAGTGGGAAAGAACGGGACCACATGGAGAAAAGGGATGGATGGAAGATAAGCTATGACCGTTTACTTGCCACAGGGATATTCTCCTTATTAAAAAAACAAAACAAAACAAAACAAAACAAAACAAAACAAAACAAACTGTTAAGTTGTAGAGGCTTATCTCCAGAACTTCTCTGCTGCTTTGTCTCTCCTGACTTTGTTTTCCAGCCAACGCTTTATTTCCTGAATGATCTCTGGAACTACAAACTAATCTACATTTCTTGTGACATATAAAAAAATCCATACTGAAAAAATAGCTTTTGACTGTTACTTTTCTAGCCTGGACACACAGCTAGCCTAAAAAGGAGAATTTCCTTACAGATTACCAGTGTCACTTATCTTTAAAATCCTTGACAATTATTTACAGCTGCTGGTTTCACTCCGATCAAAAAACAGAGGTGAGGAATGGACTGGTAGCTGTAGAAGTCCAATTTCTACTTTCATATATCCTCTTTGCTACCCAAACCAAAAATGTGCAACCTAATGAAAGAGGTTTTCAAAGGGGCAACCTAATGAAACACTGCTAAATTTTGTTTTCAAAAAGGAAAAGTGAATGTTAGGGCTATAAGAAGTTATAAAAGAACTTCTGATTGATGCCACATGCAAATGCACTTATAAACAATCCAAAAGTATTAGATTCCAATTAGAATCTCAGTTCAATCAGTAAATGTTCAAGGCAATTTTGGGGAAAGAAGCTCCGAGCATTAGATATGGTTTGTGCCAAAATATAGAAAACCACCCATAATAAATTTTCCATCAGTGAGATTTTCTTTTTTTCCTCTGAGAAGAGCCAAGTTTTCCCTTTGAAGCTGGGGTTTCTCAGTACTTTCAGGTAGTCATTTCACAAGCCACACAAAGGAGACAGCTACTTGGATCTCATCAGCTTCTAACAGGAGTTGGCACTTTTTTTTTTCCCAAAGATGCCCTTGAAAAATGCTGCTCTAAAGCTCAGACTACAAAGTCAGAGGACAAGGCTTTCGGCAGTTTGCTCCCGAGAAGTGCTTCACTGTTTTTGGTCCCACTGCTGAGTAGAACGAGGCTGTACTTTTCAAAAAGCAAACGCCACCCCTTGGGCACCAGTTAAAAAGGTCAGTTCAATATGAGCTTGCCTTGTTTTCAGATACACTGTAAATATCAATTTCTTTTTCCCTCTCTCTCCTTTCCCATCAGCAACAGCAGCTCCAGGAAGATGTAACGTGATTCCAGGAAAGCAAAGAGGAGAACTCAGCAGTAGCTTAAAGATTTTTTCACCTTTTACTCCAGTGTTGTTCCTGAGCCACTCAGCTGCCAAATCCTGGCCCCACATCCCCACTTCTGTGCTAAGATCAGATTTCCATTAGTGATACTGAATTATTTAGTGAATGCATCGAAGATTGAAATGAACTACTTCTGAGCTGTGTACCTTCTCACTCTATCTTTCATTTCAAGTCCGCACCATGGCAGGCGTACTGTCACAGAGACTATCAATCCTATAATTAGAGTAGAAAAATCCATGGAGTTCAAAAATAATAATTCATACCTCACTCTAGCATTAAAGTAATCAAATATATATATCAAAAAATCAGATTTCCCAGATGTATGCGAAAGAAGGCAAACAGAGAGCATGAACCCAGAAGAGTTATTCTTTCACGCACATATGCTAAAAACTTAAGATATTTGAAAACAAAGTCAATGCCCCAGAATTTCGTCTTAAGCTTCAGTCACCAAACCATGAATACATGTTGTACCTTTACACATTTGACTGATTCTATTTTCTACAAGAGGATTAAAGCTATTGGGCTCAAAATTATTCATGTGCATACATCTGCATGCTGCATTTTGAAATCCACAAATATAATGTGACACAGCAGGCCTCTCCAGATCCCCAGCATTTAAAAGACTGCTGCTCATATGTTGGCTTCTCTCGCTATTTTCTTCTTTTATGCTGGCAATCCTGGGAATGGAAGTCCTACATATCCAGGATTTGAAGTCTATTACTTTAAAAAAAACATCTTAGCTATGGTAAAAAAAAAAAAAAAATGCTGCTTTCAGTACATTATCACTTTTTTTCCTATATGCTCATTTCACTCTAGTTTTACAGTTTAGGGAGAAGTATAAGCCAAAACAAAACGGCATTTTGTTTTGAAGGGCTGAGCAACAGCTACCATTTTTGTTCTATTTTCTGGGGTTTTGTCGCTATGTATTTCTGTGCAAAAGTCAAAGCAAAATGCAGAAACAAAATGTTCTTCCATTGAAACAGAACCGATAAAATTGACATTTTTGTTTGGTTTCAAACTTCTGGCCGAAAAATACTGAACAAATAGAATGCAAATTTCCTTTTCAATTTGTCTCAAGAAGAACATGATTTGCTAATGCCTACTTTTTTTGCAAGTCACTATACTTACATGCCTATCGATTTACAAAAGGACTGGTTTTAGAAGTAGAGGAGGTAGTATTTATAATTCCACCAAATCAGTCCTTGATACTTTGTTACAAGAGTCAGTTAGTATCAGTCTTAATACTAAATAGCTTTCCCCTAGGCAATGAACTGAAATGGTCAATTTTATTCTCAGTAACAAGCCAGTGATAACGACTTT